ATGGCAACTCTCGTACACGAGCGTCTCGCCGCGGATGTTCTTGCTCGGCGACTTGCTGCTGCCCAACATACATCGGAGCCACTACAACGACAGCGATTTCTCGCGGGCAATGAAGCACAATGTTGCGGAAATGCACAGCGCGTATTCCACATATTCGCCTTTCGCTCAAAGCGTTTATTTGACCAGCAGATAGCGTATACGGGCATAGATACGACGAGAACTCGCATCCGCGCCGGCGCTTCGCGAGCCTGATTTTATCGTGAGTTTATCCCATTTACTAACTACAGACACTAACGTCAGTCGATAGAACACTGGCATCCTTCTTCCTCCTGTTACTCAACTGCATCTATTGGGGTTCTAGAACGACTCGCGCATACATCAGCGTGCCCGGGACGCTCCTCATCGCAAACGCGGTTGTCCTCGACCTTTCCACCGTCCTGCACGACGTCCTGTCGCCGGACATCAGTGACAGGCGCGAGGGCGGGGAGAAGGTCGTCGGGCTGATTCTCTCGCTGATGTACGGCGATCTGCCGCTCCCTGTGCTGATGCTCAGAGCTGTCTCGCCCGTCGAGTTGTTCCGCGAAGGGGCGACGGTGCTTCCGCGGCTGAGGTGGGCGCGCACGACGCACCAGGAGCGTGCAAGTGCGCGGCTCGACGCGCGCACAGATTGGCGCTGGAAATGCGGGGTGAGTGAGATCCACATCCGTTCATCTATATGTCACGATTTCTTGTCCAGATATTCGCCGCTCTGCTGCTCGTCTACTATACACTGAACTTACACACGCGCTTCATCATCGCGCCCATCATGCCTGAGCACAGGGCGGGAGACCTGCCCCACGCGCTGTCCACCTACATGACCATCCTGGTCGGCGCGCTGTCGATGGCCGGGGCCATCATGCAGCTCATCCTCAACTACCGCGCAAAGGTGTTCGCGGGGCGGTACAAGGTGGCTGTGATGGTGCGTCTCGCTCTCCAAGTACTAAGATACGGCAACTTTTTACCGGCGCTTATGGGGCGGCCGGAGGTGCTGGAGGGCTTGTCGTACGCGGACCTGCTCTGGGACGTCGTTTTGTGGGTAACTTGCTGGCAGGCGTGGAGATATTCGAGTCGGATACCCGAGGATGAAGATGGGGAAGACGAGGATAGGGCGGACGAAAAGTAGAGTCATTGTGAGCCTGATATTGTTTATTTACTCCTGAGCAACGCTCCATCACTGTATTTATTAAGTTGCCAGCAATTGACCCGGTGTCTGAGAACTCCTCTTTGCAAGACCAAATGCCGGAATTCGCTGTCGATGTACCTGGAGCGGTGACTGAAGCCGGTGTCGTGGGCGTGAATTGTGGATCGAACTGCTAGCGCATCACATTCCCGGTATACTCGAAGGAGGATCGAAGCTTACGCATGGCGGGGTGGTTCTCGAATCCATACGTGTTTTAGTTTTGGCTAAGGAGAATACCTGGACCCAGCCGCCAGGTGTGACGCGAATTGTTGGTAGGAAAGTTGGATACTACAACGAACGATCTACAAACAGTGTACACCCGTACTTCATGCATACGTTTCCACAATTTCCGTCGCACTCAGCATTCTGATCCGTTCTCTAACCGTGAGACCGAGCTGCTGAATCCGAACCCCTCTCGGAATGGACACTGCGAGCCAGACGAGACCGTCATAAATGGCCGAGGTGCTGGACTGCAGCTGGAAATCAAGAGCCACCCGGCGAGGAGATGCGCCGCCCACGCCGCTAGCAGCAGCGCTCACCACCACGTGGTGCAGCCCTGAAGGAGAGTTGGCATCCCACAGCTCGCTTGCGGCGGGAAGCTCCGCCGGAGGAAGATCCGCGAGCGGGATAATCTGAACTTCGCCAGAGCCTGTCGTGTAATCGAAAACGATGCAGAATTTTGTGTATGGGTGCTCGTGGATGAATGAGAATTGGGCGCCTAGGATGTCCACCTTGTAGGCTTTGTAGTCGCAAAGGACAATGAGACGCAGGAATTCGTAGTCGCGTTTCCTGGGGAAATGCAGCCGGTTTGGGGAAACTGCAATCGTATCAGGGATCAGATCTCAAGAGAGTTGAGGATACTCACGACGGTGCTGCCGAGGCAGACAAAATTCTCGATGTCCCGCCTCTCGCCAGGCTGACACTTGGCATTTCGTTGAGCAATAATGGGACATGCGACAGCCAGAGCAGCGCTTGATTTCAGCGCTTTTCCTCGCAACGCCGCACTAAGGATGTGGACGTCAGCACCGGAAAAAAAAGTAGCTGAGAGCGACCTACCTTTTTGTTATGACAAAGCTTGTACCAAGATATGGCCAGACCATTCAAGCTCCTGGAGCACAAGCACCCGCTGGCATAGCAGGTCGAGGAACGCCAGCCAGTCGGGGAATATAGCCGACGCCTCGAATCTCGCGCGATCGCGCGCAGCCTCCAGCGCAGGGATATTGCGCGGGATCGTGACGAGGAGGACGGGGTAGTATACCAGGGCGCCCGGGAGGATCTCACGCAGGAGCTGCTGCAGATACCCCCTCAAGTCGATGCGGGGGAACCGTTCCTCCATCTGCCCCAGTATCAGGATCGCGCGGAGCAGGCCGGCGTCGATGGCCTCTGGGAGCCGCTGGTACGCCGGCTCGGCGTAGAGACTCATGGTCAAGACTAGGAGGCAACTGTGCGGCACGAAGTCCGTATCTTCGAGAGCGCTTTCACAGCGTGGAAAAAGCGCCGCCGCAACAGTCTTGACGAGCCCCGCGCGCATGAACGGCCGGGAGACGGGCCAATTTCTCGAGTCGAAAGGCTGGATGCATGGTGGTAAGGGATGAGTGTCAGTCGCCGGTGGCATGGATCCCTTTAAGAATGCTGCTCGGCCCTGCCACCAAAGGGATGGTCATAACGCTCGGGCCACCAAAGCACCAAAGGAAGCTCCGAATCAGGCAAGAGACTTCGATTGTAACACAAAGATCATTGTTCTAAATTTTGGTGTTTGTTTGCACCGTAAAACATTCGTCCTCCCGGGGAGGCTAGAGCTCCGTCGTCCCGAGTTGCGAGATCTTGGGCCTCCACTGAAAGTCTCCCGCACCACTGCAGATGAGCTCAAACATGTTGATATATAGACCTAGTCTGAACCCGAATGACAAGAGAGAGGCAATGACTCGGCAATCTGCATGCAGGGGAGGAGCTTGGGAGGAAGCAGGGAGCAACGTCGGAGCGAGAAAAGGACACTCAGAGAATCAGAATTGGTCAGAGATCAAAATGGCAGTGCCACCACGTGTTCTCCTCCAGTGTCGTCACGCTTAGACCGGATGCCGGTTCCTCTCTTCCGTCGTTCGAGGCGCTAGATTCCTTGGCGATAAGATGTAAAAGATTCCGATGGATGGCCCCCTTCAACCGGTTTTTCCATTTTCGCGCGTGCACACTACAATATTTAAGATTTATCCTTCAGCGAGGACGCCAAAGCTGTGACATAGTCTCCTTCCGGTTGCTCAATCAATCGGACTCCAAGCCACAAGACATTCAAATGAGCTTTAAAAACGGAACATCACACTTGTGGTCGAAATACATGGTTACAACAACCATGCAAGGTATTGGTGATTTTCAGGAGGACACTGGGTTGAAAAAAATAGCAGGAGGAGGACGGTAAACTCGGTTTAAAACAGCTCGAGTTGGCATTGGTGAAGCGTGATATTAGTGGGGAATCCAACATAACTTGCGGAGAGATGAATCACTCGTGTCCTGGCCTTGAGATTCAGGTTCACAGATCGCCCAGTAGCGTGTTCGGACAACGGAATACTGCGTCACAAATTTGAGTTTGGGTTCAGTTGATTCAGAGCAGTAGAGGAAGAGGTGGGGTGGTCGAACAGTCTGTGTTATGTGGAATATGCGACGATGGGCAGATGCGAACTACCCGCCACCGAGTCGGTGATATGCTTGGATGTGTCCTGCATATATATGAGGCAGGAATATATCGGGAATCATAGTGCCCTGGACCCACGTCCGTCTAGAAGTCCTCCGGGTTTGGATTCACTGGCACGCTATAAATATGATTCACGCTATGAATCGATTCAGCCAATCCTCGGAGGAATCAACGGCGGGAATGCAACAGAAAGAGAACTGACCAAAAATAGTCTTCTGACTGCAGCATGGCTCGGGCCTGAGTCGAACAGGCAGGCGCCTTCCGCAACATAGATGGAACTTGTCATTGTATCTTGCAGGCGTGCAGCATCCGCCACGTGCGGCAAGATCCCGTAAGGTGAGAGCCTGCACGCACCGGGTTCGTGCGCCTTCGCGGCGGGTCTTATCTTGCACAGGTCTCGAAAGGCGAAGCCAATGACTCGGGCCTGGGTTGAACAACACTCATGTATTCGAGGCACATCCGAGGTGAGTGGAGACTTGGGGGCGGGTGGGCTGGGTCTGCTCACTATGAGGATGTTTTCCATGGTACAATACTGCAGAAGGCGCCTGTTCGACTCAGGCCCGAATCACTCAGACTCATCATTTTACTGTAAAAATCATCCCTGGACTACGAAGGGTTGGCTTACTTTGCAAGTAACATTCAAGCTCACTACAGACTCGGTGGCGGATGGTCCGCATCTGCACCACGTATCTCTGTGGGATGATCGGACGCTTCTGCGGACGTTGCCTGTTCAACTCAGGCCCGAGTCATAAGTGTTTCGAACACTGTTGTTTTTGTCCGGACGCATGTTTGAAAGCTCACAAGGGATTTAATTATCAGGTGCGGATGATTCGAACAGGCACCTTCCGCAGCACACGCAACACTTTCCGTTGTACGCAGACGCGGACCATCTGCTATCGAGCCGCATATTCCCTTGATATATGAGCGAGGAATACACCAGGGTCGGAGTCTGAGATCACTGACTGCCGAAGTGCCCTTTGGCCAGAAATACATGAATAACTTCTGTCTTGTAAATGGAGCTGGACTGTAAACGGATCACACGTCAATAGCGGCAATTCAGCACGGTGCCAAAAAAGCGTTTGCCATCACATGCCACGACTCGGGCCTGAGTCGAACAGGCGGCTTCTGAAGTACTGTCTCAAGTAGGCTCGGGCACACTCATTTTGAACAGACGCGGACCGTCCGCCACCGAGTCGGTACTTCCCTCGGATGTGGCTCGTATATGGGTGAGGAATCTATCATCTTGGTTTTGGACAGCGAACGCGATAATTGAAGGCTGCAAGGCAACGGAGGGAGTAATAAGCGAGTCTGACTGGACCATGACTCGGGCCCGATTCGAACAGGCGCCTCCTGCAGCGTACAAACCGAAAGGCAGATGCGGTCCCCCCGCCACCGACTCGGTACTCGCGTAGTGTACACCTTTCATAAATGATACCGAGCGTGGAAGCGGGCTATAAATGAAGTCACCCAATCCTAAGAGAAGTTCAACAGAACATGCAGAAATAAGATTGTGTCTATTGTCACAGATTCATCCCAGCTATCCATCTTTCCTATGACTAGAGGCCACCCCTGTGTCAAAAGAACATATCTACATCCCAAAATCCCCCAGAAATGCCCGCCATCGCGCCGCGGGCCGCATCTTACGAATGTTCCCCTGACCTCCTTTGAGCCTATCGAGCTGTTCCAGTTCGTGCCGACCAATCCAAGATAATAAATTTTCAGCCCGACGACACAGTTCCAGATTGCCGCTACAATGCAAGGATGAACCCGAAATATACATATAGATGGATGTACCATCCGAAAGGTCGTATTCCAGTGTGAATTCAACGCAGACAAGATTCAGAGCTGCTGCGGGAGGGCCAATCGAAAGAATGAACAGAATAGAAGGTTTGTGATCCGCTTACAGCTGATCTCGAAATTAATGAGACAGCCCGACTTTTTTTTTTTCGCGTTCCCAAAAAGGAATGTTTGCTCACCCACGTCTAATCCATTCAATAATTGCATGTGATTGAGTACCTTGCCTCCCTATGGGTTTTCAGTTCCTCAAAATGACATAGAGAAGCTCAAGTGCGCGCCAATGGCCGAAATAATACACGCGATCAATGAAACACGTGATCGTCCGGGCTTTCCCGACTTTGCCGTTTCTGCATGATTTCCTCCCATTTCGTAGGGCGCTCTTGCTCGGGGAGCTCACGAATGAACACTGTAACATCAAATTTCGTTGCAGGTACTCTTGGAGGTAAGGTAGACTCTTGTTTCGCTGGAATCTCCTTTTTGGGAATGAGCAAAAAAAAACTGATCGGTCTCATTAATTTCGAGATCAGCTGTAAGAAAAAAGGATACGGTGATGACGGCATTGATGTGTCGGCTTGGATCGGCGATTTGATGCCGACTGAGGCGCCGAGCTGAAAATTGGCTGGGGAGGTGGCTGAGGACGGAGGTCACTCGAGAGGAAAGTAGTTGCAGCGAGGGCGTGGTTGAAAGAAAGAAAAAATTAGATTATGCAACTGAAAAAAAATCGATCAAAGGTGGCCAATTTAGTAAACGCAGTTCGTGTGCTAAGGAGTGTAATCTACTTTGACGATGCTAGCTGAAAAAATACGCTCCTGAAAACCCAGAAGCAGGATGATGTGCCAATCTCAAGTTCAATATTACTCATTGCCAAAAATGACGCGGTAGGTAAATTTCACAAAGTTCGCACGAGAGAACGAAATTAGTTGACCAATCCTCAAAGGTACCAAAAATCGAGACCTCGAACTAATGCCGACCAGGTGAACACCAGCTACTTGTGTGACTCGCTCCGTATCCCGTATGGCGTGGCCATCGGGAGGCTCCGCGACTGTAACACCTAAACGGAGCAGGGTGGGCATAAGGAAGTCTGTGGTCGCATTTTTGCGAGGATATTGAGCTACAGGCTCGTCCATGTTCGGGAAAATGTTGTTGGCCTGACGTGCTAGCTGATATTCATACAATCACATTTGCTCTTAATCAGTGTAACTTTTTGTTTCTCTCATCGCTTCCCCCCCACTGCACGATTGGGTAGATGATAGATTTATCTCCGTTTGCATGACGCACGGTCTGCAGCCAATCGGTCTACACAACCTTCACATCACACGAAGAAATCGGAACAAAGTGGCCTCTGCTGTACAAACCGGAACAAATGATATACATTGTGAGATAGTCGAACATAATTACATGATAACGGTGGAACACTGTGCAGTCCTAGCACCAATGAAAAACGCAGCATGCGTTCTGTTACACGTCCACCCCACACCATTCAGCGCGCAGTTATCTCCGGCCGTACTTTTTTGCGGACGACCTTTTCTCACCTTCACGACCGCCCAGTACCCGGATCTCCCACTCTTCCGCCATCTGTGTCCGCTATGGACGCAAGCCTTCTGTCGAGTTGGGTTATGTCATTGGTTCGTAGAGACCGTTCATATAAAGCCCTCGCTGCATGCCAAAGCTCTGTAGCCTCTTCGATGTCTCCTCTCTGCTGCGCAATATCTCCCAGACGCAGCATGCAGTCGGCCCTGTTTCGGTGAACATCCATTTGTGTGAATCCTGCCAATGCAGTAATGAATAAATGGTGGGCCGTTTCCTCATCCCCATGGGAAAGGAAGACATCTCCTAGGAACTGAAGAGGTATGTAAATTGCCCGCCTCTCCTTGGCTCGGACAGCGTATGCCAGATACACTGTGGTCCATTGATATGCCGAATGAGAGTCATTGACTCCCCAGCGACCGGTATCAGCTAGTCTCTCCAGACAGTAGGCCATGACTTCGCTATTTCTCCCCCGACTCGAATTCACACAATCCGTGAATTCAGTCTTTGCAGCCGCATACTGTCCTTCCCGGAGTTGAAGATCCGCAGAGATTGCCTTGTGGAACAACAGTGCAGTCGGAGACTCAACGGTTGCGCACAATCTTTCCGCCTCCAGCAGGTTCCTCTTCACATCTTGATGACTGACGCCAGTTATTATATCGATATCTGCGATACTGAGCACTGCAAAAACCTGATTGAAGCTGTTGAAGTTCCCAGACGAAATGTCTTGAGCAATGTGTACATGGATTTCTCGGGCTTCCGCATATTCGGATTTCATGAGGTAGTAGCCTGCCTCTTTATTGAGGGTCTGATGGTACAAAGATCCTCCAGAGATTCCGCAGAGTTCAAGGAGGTGTTTGGCTCTCCTACAGAGTCGGATAATGTCTTCTAAGTTGCCGAGACTCAGATTACACAGCGCTTCCGTTTGAAGTGCTGCGGCTTCCAGATATATATCCCCGGCCAACTTGGCAAGATACTGGGCCTCAATGGCATGCAATCTCCCAGCAGGGTAATGTCCAATCTGCTGCTCCATTCCGGCGATGGAATTCATCACTGTACATTCTCTTTTTCTGTCCCCAGCAAGCCGTGAAAGTTCCCGAGATTTCTGAAATGCTTGAAGGGCCGGCGCTATCTCGTTATTGCAACAGTAGTAACTCCCAACGGCGTTGTAAAATCTAGCTGTGAAGATTTCTCGTATGTGAGGAAACCTTCTGTACGGGGTATCAAGTGGACTCACATTCCAGGGACGGGTCACTTAAATTTCGGAAGTGGCTTACAGCCTTCGAAATGAGCTCTTCTGGATCGTCGATTGGTACATGGTTCTTGGAGAAGAATGTCTGCGTTATTAGATCTGCCTCCAAACGGGGGTCAGTAGGCCCGGGAAGAATAGTCGGGATGTGGTCCATTAATGTAGTCCGGCCACGGCCGGTGATCCTGTTGAACACGTTGAAGGCCATTGTGCAGTAGATTAGATCCGGAAGATCGAGATCATCTGCATGCAATTCGTACAGCAGCATCTGGTGAATGTTGCCAAGATTCAAGGTTATTCGGGGGACGATTTGGGCAGTCTCTACTCCCCGGTATTCCCGGTATAGATCCAACAATGAATGGAAGTGCTTGCGGACGGACTGTACGAGACGTGGTGCAGGTGGATACTGATGCTGCATGTACTCGCGAATTGGGACCAAGGCTTTGAGGCGCTTGTTATCATCACTGTAAGCAAGGGCGGTACGAAGAAGTGCAGTCTTGCATGCCATGACTTGGGAGATGGGCAACTTGATCTGCACAAGCTCCGAGTCCGATAGTCCATCGGGAAGAACTGAAAGTAGACCCAACAACTCCTTTGCCCCGGGCACAGAGGAGAGTCGAGGGCTCGAAAGAGAGATTGCTATGGATGCGTCCAGATTAGATCTTTTGTCGTGACCGTCGGAAAGCACAGCAGTTCGTTCTGCCGGCCAGCGCGTTAGAACTTGGGCACATCCCTCATAGTCAACCAGATGCGCAATCATATCTACCGCCAAGGGCAAGTTATCAGTCAAATTCAGCAGTCGGGTGATATCCTTGGGGTCATGAAAATCGTCTGCGATATCGATGAAGGTCTGATGTGCGGCAGTATCCGATAAAGGATGCAAGGGCTTCAGCAATGGCCGAGTCCACCGGACTTTGGCCGGTCGCTCAGCCCCTCGCATCGTGATCTATGGACGTGTGAGCACATTGACTCCAGAAGAATAATGCACCCCCACAATTAATGACAGGTGCACCAAGTCCGTTAGCAGCGACAGAAACTCTTCGACTCTGGCACGAGAGTCGGTTGGCTCCCATGAGGTTTCAAGGTTATCCAATATCAATAAACACGGGGTGTGGATTGCAAAATGCCGAAAGACAGGTTTTGTTAGATCTTTCCCCGGCTTTAGTCCGAGATGGGAACCGATGAGGCCCGCGAGCTCGACGCTTGTGGTAGCTGAGTCACAGGCCACAAAGAGACAATAATTGTGTTTTGCACCAATTTCAGGATGGTGCAAAGCTGCTCTGGCCAGGCTCGTTTTACCCATTCCACCGGTTCCGAGAATTGCGATCCGGGGTGATCCTTGACGGAACAAGTTCACAACTTCTTCGAGTTCCGAGTCACGACCATGAAAGATTTTGGGCCTCGACGGTAGCATTGCGAACGAGTCGGAGCTTCACATCAAATTATATCAGTTGGGGGGTGTTCAATTAGTGGATGAACGGACCTGTGCCGGGAGCTATTGGCACTCCGATACATCTGTTTCTGCAGGTAAGTAGACTTTTCGGCCCAGTATCCCAGAGCTGCGTACAGAGTAGATTGTGTCCGCATCCGACTCGGTTGAAAGATCTGCGATCAATGCCAGT